AGAAATTGAGGGGAGACCTCTGGGTCTCATAAAAAGAATGGAGTTTTGTCCAGAGGACAAAAGCAAAGAAAAGCTCTTGACATCGATTGATGCTGCTATGTTTTGAAAGACAGAGAAAGAAGAAAGAAGAGAAGCTGCCGTCGGTTTACCAGGGGAAAGAAAAAAACCTCAATATATGGTTAATAAGCATTTCCACATCATCAGGACCAGCCAATCTTCACGCGCCACGTGGGTGTTTAATGGTTAATATATATCAATTACAAAAAATTGATAATTAATTGTGCTTTAAAAACAAAGTGTTCAATAATTGTAAAAAGTTAGTAATTTAAATTTTGGCTAAAAGAGGACATTTTCTTAATAAAATTTGAAAAGAAAAAAGGTAATTAAATGAGATTTGTTGGACAAAAAAAATTTTTCGTTAATAATTGCAAAAAAGTTATAAAGTAAATAAGATTTGTTGGGTGAAAAAAAAGGTCAATAAAAAAAAGCGCGATTAATTAGTTATTAATAATTAATTAATAGCTAATAATAACGAACACAGCTAAAGCAATAATTACAATAAAATAATAATAATTAATAGTCGTGATTTATTCGGCAACCAAAAGAGCGCACTGATAATTGTACAACGGATGGGCAACATAATAAAAATAAGACAGGCATTATTCAGCCAAGACACAATAACCTGTCAACAAAAGGAGGTTGATGACAAGTAATGCGAAACGATGGATGAAGAAATTGAGAAAGTACGGATTTAAACTAAACAAATAAAATTTGTCCATAATTAATTGCAAAGAATTGGTAATTAAGCATGTTAATTTAAAAGATTAGTTAATTATTAATCAATTAATTATTAAGATGGCCAAAAGCAAAGAAGAAAAGACTAACGAGAAACAATTTTTCTCAGGCGGAGCAATGTAGACATATTAATTGATTAACAATTAACAGCAACAATTTGGTAATTAATTGCGATTCTCTATGCAACAAAAAAGTAACAATACTAATTAATTAATTAGCAATTACTAATTGTTAAAAAGGGCAACCAAATATGATTTGATTAGCAACCAAAAAAAAAGAGACTAATTTTTGGCTAATAACTACATACAACTGATAATTCAATGCGATTTGTTAGGTAAAAAAATAATTATTATTATAAAGTCGGTAATTAAATGTGATTTGTTTGACTAAAAAAAGGTGAAACCAGAAGTTAATTAATAAAAAATGGATTGAAAAAAAGTTGATGAGTACACCTAATTTGTTGGGCAACCCCCAAAAAAAAAGAGGACATTTTCTTAAAAGAATGTGGGAAAAAGGTAACCAAATGAGATTTTTTTGGACAACCAAAAAATTTTTTTTTTTGTTAATAATTGCAAAAAAGTTATGAATTAAATGCTATTTATTGGGTAAAAAAAATGACAATAAAAAAATGACATTATTAATTAGTTACTAATTAGTAAGTAACTAATAATAATAAATACAGTTAAAGCAATAATTACAATAAAAATAACAATTAATAATTGCGATTTAGCCGGCAACGTGGGACCAAATTTTATCGGAACACTCCCCAGCAAACAACAAACAAAGAAACAAAAGCAATTGATAGGCGTCCAAGCAAACAAAAAGGCGTCCAATTGGCAAACGGGCTGGACGACCATCAATTGAGAATTCCCACGGGCCGGACGATCACCAATCAACCAATGAAAGCCAGCCACGTCAGCAATTGAAGCCCAATTGAAAACAAGGGCATTCCCCAATAGACTAGATATGTTAATAAGGGGATGGTTGGGAAATCTTTTGTGTTAAGGGGAATTGTCTAGCCTATTTTTATTTATCTGGAGTAATAATTTGGGATGGTGGTTTCTTATAAAATTAATTTCTTTGATAGTTTTTATTTTTGTTGCAATTAGTTAAGTTACTTTAATTTTTTTTCTTTTAGGAATGTAGATTATAACAAATAATAGGATGATAAGTCAGTTGAATGATAAGCTCTGTGGCCAGGCATCAAGGTTGATTATAATTGAGAATAATCCTATTCAGCCTATGAGAGTTGTAGATAGAATATATCAGCAATTTGTATTTTTTTTTGATGGATCAATAAGAATTATTTATGTATTTGGAATTTTATAAGTTAATTATAATTTGTTCGATTAATATGTATATTTATGTATTCAATAGCAAGATGATAGAATGCAAGGCATTGTTTATTTGATTGATGCTCAAACATTGGATTAATTTTTAGAGTTGTATAGAATATATGATGCACTTTTTGATAATTCATGCACTTTTATTTCAAAATGTAATTGTACAAGAAAGGCACGGTCATCAAGAATTTGTAGTAATCAATGAGCAGTAAATTTCATGATTTACCTTTCGGGTATAATAAGATTATTGTGTCTTGCGCATGAATTAATTGATTATATTGTTATAGAATGAGGCATATTATATTCTCTATATGGGAAGGTTTTATGAAGGTGGAACGAGTACATTTTTAAAAAATTGTGCATGGGGGTAATTGTTGTCCTTTCGAGGACATCTATAAATTGAAACAATACAAATATTAGTTATTATAATTTGTATGCAAACAATCTATAAATTAAATGGTGGGTTTATTAAGGTTTCTTATTGTAGCCTGTAGGTTTGGTATTTTCAATTTTATTGATTTTAAAATATGTATTTAAACTAATACTATTCATTGTAGGTGTTTCTCTTAGTATTCGAGCAACAACAACTATACCGCTTAATCCGAATATTTTGCAAGTACATGAGTTTCACCATTAGTATAAGGCGATACTGGGGAATGACATTGATTGATGTTGAAGAAGAGAAATATTTTTTTGAATATAATTGGATGGTGTATTGGGTTTAGATTTATACTTGAATAAATGGTATATGTGTATATTTGTAAAAGTGAAATTCTCTACATGTAACTTTATATGCAATGAGTGTAACTTTGATGCTGTAATATTAGTTGTTTTGGTTTGGTTGATATTGTAGTGATGGTTGTAATAAACAAATAGCTATTTTGGATTATTGAGTTTTGTGAGAAATATATGCTGATACTTAATTATATAAGTGTTGATTTAAATATATGAAATGATTTTTTTAAGAATAAATCGGTTTCATGAAAGAAAATTGACTTGTATGTTGGTTGTGTTTGTACGATAAAATTAGTGGTATAAAATTTGTTATGGTAAACAAATGAAATGCAAATGACAGAGGAGAAAAGAGGGTCAAAAGTTGTATATAAGTTAAAAATACAAAATGAGATTTATGGTATATGATATTTATTTATCAGTATTGCTATAATAAAAAAAATCAACACTAGATTTGAAAACGAATAGTATAGGTCCTAGGATTAATTTTATTCGCGGAAAAGAGGAAAAATAGGGGGTGGTTACAAAGTGGGGCATCGTCCTTTTTATCTTTATTACTTAATTCACTTAGTCGTAGTCATATTTTATATTTTTTTTCTTTATTTATTATAACGTATTTGTGTGTTTCAAATTTGATGACCAAAGTTAAAATTATGGTGAGTACTTGAAAAGAAATTTCTTCATATTAATACTTTGACAAAGACATTATTTGTGACTGATGAAAAAAGTAGTAATTAAAGTTGTAATAACAAAATTACAAAGTAAACAAATATAAAGAAAGAGTAAGAAGAGGTGTGCAAAAGTAATAAGCTTGTAAAGAGTCTTGTGGTATATGATATTTGTCTTTTATGAATCTTTTGTATTATTCTAATTTGTAGAACATAGTTACAATTATTGTGATGATTGAAAAGAAATTTCTCAAGAATTGTGGTTTTGTAAAGAAATTGTATATATATGATTGATCTTGTTTTATCTAAATCATTCGAATACACATAATTAGATTTATGAAAATAAAAATATGTGAGAATTATGTAGCCTGTGTTTGAAGATGTGGAGAATGGAAAGTTGGATTGTATTGACTTTATCTGTTAATACTTGTCATTTATTTTATATAGCATTGAGCAATTGAATTGAGTTTTTTTAATTATTATTTAGTAAGGAATAAAGATGGATAGAGAAAGGTCTTATGCTAAAAGGGATAAAATTTATACATACACAAGAGGGGATTGAGTTGTTGGGTTTGCAAGACCTCAATGCCAAGGAATTGAATACAGTGATAAATATAAAATGCATACCGTTATTTATACCCATTGAATCCTGACAAGATTGAGAAGAAACCACGGATCCATGCAATGAATCCACTCTTTTTTATTGTGACAAATTTTGTGGGAGACAAGGTGCGAACCCTTGACCTCCCGCACCACCAAGCCTAAGAAGACTTGCAATGAATCCACTCAATATGTTAAGATTCACGTATCTAGGTTAGGTGCTCCCCCCCTCTAATTCCTATGTGGTGGCTCTCAATGGGGCAAAACCCTCCTGATAGTCTATATTTATAGGCTATAGTGTTATAAATGGGAGAGAAGAACCTAATCCTAGTTTCTGAATTGGACCCTTTCATTAGGGAACCCTAACTAAATATAAACCCTACACCTTACATACCATACCCAAATAGTTTAACTGAGATAGACCTAGACCTAAACAGTAGTGGATCACGTTACAATGGGTTTTACTGATCTTATTTAACCCGTTTTGACAAAATAAATAATTAGTGGCATCCTAAATAAAGAAAATATTTCTAACATTCTCCCACTTGGGTAATATTAATTAATTTGAGTTTGAAAAGAAAAAATAAAAAAATTGAAAACCCTTTTTGGGTTAAATATTACTACAGCGGCCACTGAAAAACAGTTCAGAATTCCGTCCAATGAAAGTATTTGCACTGAACTGTAAATGTCCTTGCATTATTTCTGCCCTAGGGTGTGTTTGGATTGCTTGTTTCTGTCGGAAAATATTATCGTTTTCCGTGATCATATTTCCTTATCACCTTTTTCCCTCACATATATCAAATCGCTACAGTAATTTTTCCATGAAAAATGACAGAAAATACAATCCAAACATACCTATACTTCATTGACATGAATTCCACATCGAGTGTAGTGTGGCTTGACTCACATGATCCAAAAGTAAAGTGATCAAGTCGATCAAAACCAATACCACAGGTCTTAGTTCTTTGGTTAATGGATTAGCAAGCATATTAGTCGTTGCAATATTCTCATAAAGCACATCAACATTATCAGCCCATTTCCTTGCATCAAAGAATTTTAGGCCAATATATTTTGCACCACCAGAGTTCTTTATGAAAAATACAGCAGCGGAATTGTCAGAATAAATCTTCAATGGTCTAGCAACGGAATCAATAAACTTAAGCCTTGATATGGAATTTCTCAACCACTTAGCATGAGCCCCACCTTCATAGCAAGCAATCAACCAACTTTGCCTAAACGGTGGAAGAAGCTATCAAAGATTGCTTTGAACTCTTTCAAGATATGGCACCGCCTGCTAACATTAGATTTTCTATCATTTAAGCACCCTCAAAGATCAGCATCAGTGAAACTGATAACCTGGAGATCATCAACATGTCTATAAATAAGTATATGATCTTTGTTTTCTTCAAATACCGCATCAACCTCGTCGCAGCTACCCAATGTTCATGACTAGGATTTGCCAAGAACCTTCCTAATACGCTTATTGCATAGGTAATATCAGGTTTTGTACAAACCACAGAATATATAAGGCTACCCACTACACTGCTGTAAGGAATTCCTTTCATAGAATTCCTATCAAGATCATTTTTATGACACTACTCTTTACTTAGCCTGTCACCTTTACCTAATGGAGCCACACCTACTTTATAATTCTACAGGTTAAATCTAGCAAGAACGTGATCAATATAAGCAGATTGAGATAACTTCTATATTTTCCTTTCTCTATCTCTATGGATCTCTACACCAAGAACAAAGCTAGCTTCTACAAAATCTTTCATATCAAAGGTCGTAGATAAAAAACCTTTAACATGAAGAAACAATTCCAAATCACTGCTAGTTGATAGGATATCATCCACATAAAGAACAAGGAAGATAAATCTACTCCCACTGACCTTGACCTATATGCAAGAATCCACTGTATTTTAAACAAACCCGAAAGATGTCACCACTTCATGAACCTTGAGGTACACCGCCTGGAAGCTTGTTTCAAACCATAAATTGACCTTTTCAATTTACACACCATTTGTTCCTTCTCATTTTCTTCAAAACCTTCCGATTGCTTCATGTAAACTTCCTCAAATAGATCTCCATTCAAGAATACTGTTTTGACATCCATTTGTGGAGTTCTAAGTCATAATGTGCAATCAAGGCCATGACGATTCTGAAGGAATCTTTCGATGAAACTGGAGAAAAAGTTTCTATGTAGTCTACACCTTCCCTTTGTGTATATCCCTTAGCAACTAGTCTGTCCTTGAATCTCTCCACATTACCTTTAACATCTTCTTCATTTTAAACACCCATTTGCACCTAATGGATTTAAAGCCTTTGGGAATTTCAACTAATTCCCAAACACCAATATACGCCACAGACTGCATCTTTTTTTGCATTGCAACCTTCCACTTATCTGATAATGGACTGGCAACTGCTTCTTTAAAAGTCACTGGATCAACAACTCTATAAATGTCAAAATCATATTCACCTAAATAAACATAATAATCATCAGATAGAACTGGCCTAAAAAAAAAAGAGATAGAACTGGCCTTCCATCATGTCGAGAACGTCGAAAGGGAGCAGTCTCAATTTCTAAATTTTGATGTGTGACAATGGGATCAGGATTGTCATTGGCAGGATTGGATTGCTCAATATTTTCTATAGGATTTTGAACGACTCTTTCATGCATTATTGGGATAGTTACAATCGTAGGTTGTGGTTTAGAAAGCACTATATCATGAGAGCAATCACAACTACCAATATCATATTCCAAGAATTTTGCAGTAGTAGATTCAATAGTTCTTGTGCCATTATTTGGACAGTAAAACTAGTAACCTTTAGAGGCCACTAGGTATCCAATGAAAAAACCACGAGTAGTTCTGTGATCAAGTTTCTTTTCAAGGGAATTATAGATTCTGACTTCGGCTAGACAATCGCAAACACGCGAGTGATCGAGGCTAGGTTTTCTACCAGTCCAAATTTCAAAAGGAGTTTCGGGAACAACTTTAGTGGGAACTCTATTTAGGATATACATTGCTATATAAAGGGCTTCACCGCAAATTGATTCAGCAAATTGGTTCGACTCATCAAATACCTAATCAGGTCCTTAAGAGTGCGAGGCGCTCAGCCATACCATTTTGTTCAGGAGTTTCAGGCATTGTATATTGAGCTACTATGCCACATTTTTCTAAATATTCAGCAAAAGGACCTTTGGATTGACCAATGTCTGTATGTCTACCATAATATTCACCATGTCAACCCTGACCACTTTAATTAATTTACCCAATTTCCTCTCAACTTCAATTTTAAATATTTTAAATTTATCAAAAGCTTCTAATTTGTGGTTAATCAAATAAACACACCCATACCTAGAATGGTCATCAATAAATGTGACAAAAAATTTTTTACCACACAAATTAGGTGACAAAGGTCCATTAATATTTGTATGAATTAACTCTAATAGTTCCAAACTACGTGTAGACCGTTGTATTTTAGATTTTGTTAATTTTTCTCATGAAATCAATACAAGTGGTAACATCATTAAAATTCAAATTAGGAAAAGTTCAAAGGCTACAATTTTCTTGAACTTTAGGATTCAAACCTTGATCTTGTGGCTCTAATACCACTTATTGGGTTTATTAGACTTCAATACCAAAGAATTAAATATAGTAATAAACACAAAGCATGTACTGTTATTTGTAACCATTGAATCCTGACAAGATTGAGAAGAAAACATAGATCCACATAATGAATCTACTCGATACGTTAAGGTTGATGTATCTAGGTTAAATGCTCCCTTTTCTTCTCCAATTCTTGTATGGTGGCTCTAAATGGGGCAAACCACCCATAGCAGACTATTTTTATAGGATGTAGTATTATAGATAGGAAAGAGAGACCTAACCCTAGTTTTTGAATTGGATCCTCCCATTAAGGAACCCTACTGAATACAGGCCCTACACCTTACATACCACACCTAAATAGTTTGACTAAGATAGATCTAGGTCCAAATTGTGGTGAATCACGTTGCAATGTGCTTTACCGGCCTTATTTAACTCATTTTAACAAAACAAATAATTAGTGACAGCCCAAATAAAGAAAATATTTCTAACATGAGCAACATAACCAGTTGTTATTAAACACAAGATATTTTCAGATATATTAGGTGTGCAAGTTTAGTGTGGGATACATGTTCACATAAGTACATAGCAATGGACAAAAAGTTAATGAAGTTTTGCTACTTTGGTTCTCGCAATAGTTGTAATATTTTATGACTTAAAATATTTCTATATGTTCTAAATGGGTTGAGTGTGGCTTCTTCTTGTTAATTATTGCGTATTTTCTTTTACTAGATAGCTGCAATTTCTAATGTGTTTTTACTCTGCATTGTTGTTGCAGGCTAAGAGAAAAATAAAGAACTCAAACTAGATGTGTTGGATGCTTCAGTATCAGTATTATGGAGCAAGAGTAATTCACTTGTTTATGTCTCAGTTGTGATTAGGATATATACTATAATGAGATAAACTGTTGTGACTGGATTATGCTCCTGATTTGCAAATAAAATTAGACGTTTCTAAGTTTTTTACTTGTTGCTTCCATTAGCTACACTTTTGAGGAAGCAGTAGCTATCTTCCAATTTCAAATGCATCTCTTTCAATTTAGAATTTTTTTTGTGCATTAATATCACCTTTATCCTTCACTATCAAATTTCTCTGCATAAGTTTAAATTAATTATATTGTTATCATTTTTTTTTATCAACGTTGTCTCTAGCAACTTAAGCATTTGTATCTCATATTATGCAAACAATATTATTGCCACCATATTAGCATCCAATGCTTCAATGTCTTTTGACAAAGTAATGCATGCTAATTAGTGTATGTACTTCACTCAACATACATGTATTTTAATAACTACCTAACCCATTCATATATTCCTTTGTAATATATTATTAACTTACTTAATTCTATAAAAAATCAATTTGGTTCCCTTTCTAAACACTTTTAAAGTATGTACTCTTTACAAATTTTAATTAAATTTTTATTCCATAAAATTGAGCAGTGGCTGCGCTCAGCAGAGTTACCCCTATTCTACTACCAATATAGAGCATTGCAGACACACAAATTTAATGTTCAATATGTTCGATTTGCATAGGTAACTTTAAATTTTAGTTGTGTTTAATAAGTAAAAAAAAAAGTACATATTAAACTTGTAAAAGAGATAATAATATGTACAATAGCTATAGATTCTAAAAAATAGTAAGATAGTACTAGTATGCTATAATAAAGGATAACAAATAGACAAATAGCAGCCAACTAAGATGAATTTCAGTTCTATGCAATCATTAACAAGACTTCTTTATAAACAATATTTTTGGTAAGTTTGTACTTAAAGAAAATATATATAGTTAGAGACTTATTAGGTACTTTACTATTGTTTAGTATTATTTTGCTTCTTGATAAGGTCACATATAGCTGTTTATCGAAGAAAATGGGCTCCTTAAGGTATGAGCCAATGAAATCTAAGGTTTATTTTTTTTGTGTTTTGTTAATTGTTATTGCATTCGTAGTCTCAAAGGAAATTGTACGTGCTTGAAAGGAATTAAACAGAACTCATCATCTGAGCATTCTAGGGGTTTCCGAGGAATAAATACATGCTTACCTACAAAAGACTCGGATGCTATGTCTACTTGGATAGCATTGTTTGCAAATTCTTTATAGATTAGTTAAATATCATTTGAAAGGCCTTTTGTTGGATTGAAATTTTTATCAGCATAATGGGACGATTTCTCTTTAGTTTTAACCTGTGTTTTAAAACTCGGACCGGATCGGTCGATTTGACCGGTCGAACCGAGAACCGGCCAAATGTTCGGTCCGAGTTATGCTAAAAAATCGGGTAAATAAAAATCCGGTCAAATTCGGTCAAAAACCGGGTTTGACAGAAAAAAAACTGGATTTTTCGGTTCAATTAGCATTTAAAAAAAAATCTCAAATTTTTTCAATATTATGTTTTGACCCGTAGATTGTTAAAAATTATTAATATACCTCAAATATTTCATACTTTATCAATATTTTCTTAAATTTGGTGTTATTTTTCAATTAAGTCCATAATTTTAATTCTAAGCTTGTTAATGCTCATTAAATAATATAAATTGCTATTTGATTGTTCTAATTTCTTTGTATTTTCTTGTTAAATATATTTGAAACATCAAATATATATGAATATACCTTTATTAATATTAACATGTTATTAGGTATTTTACATATAATATTTTAATTTTTAAATAATTTTTATTTATGACGTCATCCGGTTCAACTCTTATCGAATCCGGTTGAACCCATTGACTCCTGACCCCTGAGCTTGATCGACTCGATACCCGGTCCGATTCTAAAAACATAGGTTTTAACTCATGTAGTGCCAATCCTTTTGGAGTCAATGTGTTCAAGAAGTCTCGACTCTCCAATTTCCATTTCGAATCGATTACTTTATCAAAGTTAAGGTATGTTTTCACAAGGTTAGGAAATTTTTTTGATCAATTGTTCGTTTATTTCATGGACAAAATCATTTATTGTCATAAGG